CACTCCAGCAACAGGAGGGGGGGGAAAAAAAAAAGAAAACACCATCAGAGGTGTGATTTTCGGTGATCTGGGGTCAGAACTGCTCCTCAAGGGTCCATCCCAAAGCCAAGTGCTGGATGTGATGTGGGGACCCGGGAACAGGCAGCTGCCGACTTATCAGCATTACACACTGCCCGGGAATTCTTCTCCAAAGGCATCAGATCAATAGTAGGTTTATTTATAACCTCCCAGGCAGGAGCTGTCACAATGGCAAAAAAATCAGCAAGTTAATAAACCTAAGTGTCTATCTCCCTTTCTTAACCTTATATATACACATATTGGTTATGTATCTCCTCACCTTTATGCCTCAGGAATACAAAGTGTCTGCAAAAACAGGCTGAGCTGCACACCTCCAGCCCATCTCAGAGGCTCAAGATCATAATTTCCATATTCACCAGTAAAATTTCTGAATTTTTAAACAATTTTCTGAAAACAAGAGTTCACACTGACTCTCATTAGCAATCACAGCATTTTCAATTTGAAACTAATTTCTGCTAAGGACAGAGGAGGTAGAAAAGAGCCCAGCAGGCTCCCCCACAGCCACTTCAGCTCTGTGCAACTGTCAGGGGTGAACTGCAAGACACGCTTATTTTTGGCAGTAAACAAAGCAGATAAGGTGCTGCACAGTCCAAGGGTCTGAAGACACAGTGATATGTTGTGTTAAATCACTTTTCAGGGCACAAAAAAACCCATCAGGGCAGCAAAAGGGAGTTTTATTTGGGGTTTCGAAAGCAGGGGTTGAAAAGAGGCAAAGAATCCCGGAATGGTTTGGGTTGGAAGGGACCTTAAAGCTCATCTCATCTTCAAAACAGACCATAAAGTTATAGGATTAAGGGGAAAGAAAGTTTCTGCCTTTGAGAAAGAGCTCAGAGACAACACTTTATGACCTCCACCTTTGTTTTTTGTGAAGGACCACCTGTATTTACTAGAATTTCCAAGTCATAACAAGTTCATTTTTACCACTGGCATGATTAGCAGCTCCATAACTACTGGTACACAGGTTGCTGGACCCACGGGGGTGGTGCTTCTCTGAAAAGCAGGACAAACAGCAGCAAAATCCTCCACCATCCCTCCAGACATAACTAATGAGCTCCTTGCAGGCTCCACCAGCAGGCCCTTGAAGGAGGATCAGGTAATTAATATGTGGTAATGGCTATTTGGAGATGCTAATTCTTAGACAAATGCAACTGCATCGGTCCCACCTGGCAGCCCTGGGACGGTGACACCAAAGCTTCTGCTGTGCTTCCAAAGCACCTCCTCTGGTCCTGTTCACTGCTGAAATGAAGGCACATGTTTTGGGAGGGCTCCCAGAGGGGCAGTTTGTGTCTGTGCTTCACCTGGTGCCTTTCAGAGAGAAGGACAAGGAATGCTTTCTTGTTTTCATGGAATCATTAAGGCTGGAAAAGCCCTCCGAGATCATCAAGCCCAACCATCAACCCAGCGCTGCCAAATCCTCCACTAAACCATGTCCACTTAAACCCCTCTTTAAAAACCCTCCGGGGATGGGGACTCCAGCACTTCCTTGGGCAGCCTGATCCAATGCTTGTCAACACTTTCAGGGAAGAAATTTTCCTTAATATCCAAACTAAACCCCCCCTGGCACAGCTCAAGGCCGTTTCCTCTCCTCCTCTCCCTTGTTCCCTGGGAGCAGAGCCTGATCCTCCCTCCTGTCAGGGAGTTGTAGGGAGTAAAAAGGTCCCCTCTGAGCCTCCTTTTCTCCAGGTTTTGGGGTCTTTTTGGATGCTGTGACTTGCCCTAATTATCCTGAATTGAGTGGATTGCCCGAGATACCCCAACAGGCCACTAAAAATGACAATAAATTAAATGCCCCCTGTACCAACGAGTTATTTATTTACCCAGGAACTACAGCTTGTCACAGGTTTAAAACAGAAGGAGAATCTATACATGATGGGCTAATAAAAACTCAAATTTATAGAGAGAGTGATGAAAGAGTTGGAAGCACCTGAATTTGTAGGAAAACAAACCAAATGTCACCAGGCACAGAACTGGTCCCTTCCCCACAGGCAGCTTTTCCACAAGTGTTTTCTTCCCACTCCAAACATCAGGGAAATGTGCTTTAAACAGCAACTTAAAGTACAGAAAAATCTTTCCTTGCACTTGAAAACTGGATCTTGGAGCTCCAAAACTGCTCATCCAGACTCTTCAGCTGGAAGTAAAATGATGCCAAATGAATTTAGCCATAGTTTGCAGACACTTAAACAAGCTGTGCTTGGGTTTTCTCCAAGAAATCAATTAAATTATTTGAATTATTATAACTAGCAAAGCCTGAGGCATAAGATCTTATTACGATATTCCTCTTAAGTACTAGATTTTTTGCATCAAAAAGCAGATTTTTGTCAAAAAAATTATTCCTCCTCCTCCCTGAAGGAGAATTTAATTTGATTTTTCTCCTGCTTGATAGTGCCCAAGAATCTAAAATTTATTCTGTTATTTTTTCAGTATTTTTATTCAGTTTTTACAGACAACTAAAAACCCCTGATGTTTTGTCTCCTTATCTCACACTAAGAATAAGTCAGAAAAATAATAAACAGTAAAATAAAAATCAACGTTAATGAAAGTTTTACCCACAAATAACCCACAGAAAGAGATTTCTTCTTTTTCCTACCACATTTAATTCTCTGTTAAACATCAGCAGCAGTTCCCTAAAGCACTTCTAACATAAAGGAGCATATTCCCAAAATAAAGGCTACATATACCTGGAAATGTTGATTGATAGAGTCATGGAGAAGACAGAAAATTAATATATAAAGGTAAATCTAAGTGTTCCTTTGAATTAAAAAAGAGATGCTGAATTAATTAATAACATCTGCCAAGGCTTCCAAAAAAAGCTGATGAAGGTTCCTATGTGGTTTTTTTGTGTTTCCCCT